TCTCCCTCAGGAGTGACTCGACCGAGCCAACTCATATTGCGATTCTTTCTTCTGATCGCGTTATAATACCTGTCGTCAAACTTGATTGATTGACAATCTCAATAGTAATAAGGACCATGGCTATAGCCATCAATCAGGACTCTGTTGTTGCAAGGGTGTTATCTTTGGCTCTGACTTGTGACAGCATCTTTCCCTTAAGAAATTCCTTTGTCCTATTATCCGCTGTCTACTGATTCATCCCTTGCTGATTTAATTGTTCTTAGAAATTTTTTTTTCATAGATTGACTATCATTATCTGTTTTGATGATCTGTTTGCCATCTTGATGTGAGAAGTTTCAGTGTGAGGCTTGTATCATATTGATTTTAGAAACCTTAAGTCTAAGGTGTTATTCAAGTATACAATATTTGAATTGTTGATTGTGTGAATACACCATCCATGTTCTTAAGGACTTATTAAAACAAGTACAATTTAAAATCTAATATTTATAAATGCAAACATTGAGGGCAGTATTGTACATGTTTTGAATATATTCAAGTATAGAATTAGTATTAGTAAACTTTATTATAGTTTTCAGTTGTTTTTCTAGTCATTTATTTTATATTTTATTGTACAGTACTACTATAAATTAAAATACAGTAGAATCCCCAACACTTTTGGGACCAAAAAAAAAAGTGTCCAATTAATAGAGGTGTCCCTGGAATAGGAGTAGGCTGTGGTGTTAAAAATACCTGTATATATTTCCCTCATTTTGTGGCTGAAAAATTTTCCCTTTAATAGTGGTGCTCCCTTAATAAGAGTGTCCCCTTAATAGGGATGTCCTAATGGAGGAGGTTCTACTGTGTGTTTGTCCAACTGAATGGTCAGAGGAATGTTCTAACTGAAAAAGGAGAAAGTAGCGAATAATCTGACCTGCAGCTTCATGGGCTGAGAGGGTCACAGACATGGACAACTCATTCAACAACTTTTTTCCTAAGCTAATAGCTGCTGTTAGGCCTTACTCATCTGCCCTCAACGATAGGGTTAGGTGGACCAGTTATTTGCATTGCTAATGAACAATTTGTTTATTATGATTTTGTTTGGCTCACTGTTAGAAATTATAGACTATACTGCATCTGATAAGACAAGATTTTTTTTAAAGAAAAATATATTAAAAATTATTAAAAGAAAAACAATAACAGATAGAAAATGTAAGAATTGCCTGAAGTATATAGAACTAGTAAAAAACAATTGTAGAAAAGAATTTGTGATTTAGTATTTTCAGATTGATATGATTTGCTATCATGAACCTACACTCATCCTTGATTCACGACTTAAGTATTACCAGACAGTTGTGAAAATTCTAACAGGAACATTTTATGTTCAAAACATTCTTAATAGTATTTTCTAACTTGATTTAAGGTGTTAACATTGCTGTGGATTTGTTTGCTATATATCCTTATATCCAACTGGAAACATATCTTCTATGAACTGTATCCTAAACTTTAAAAGCTCCCAAGAGATATAAAACTTTTAAAGTGTTTATGTGTTTGCTAATATGCTGTGCTGTAGCTCTCTATTAGGCTACGTGTCTGGGTACCCTTTTCCTCAATATAAATGGTTCCCGTCATATCACTTCTTTTATATTAATCTTCATGATATAAACAATTCTGGTTTATATCGGTTTTCATATTTTTATGCAGTGACAATTCCAATCAGTGAATTTAATTGTCTTTTCAAGAAATGAATTGTTCAAAGTTCTTCAGATTTAATTGGCTGCTTTTAAACTTCTCCATTCATCATCAGTTATAAAAAAGACTGCAATCCCTACTCCATCTAGCCCTTCACAAATCAAATACACAGCAACGTGTGTCTTCCTTCTCAAACTAAGGTGTCATTTGCGTACAGCGATTGTATGATTTATCTCCGAAGACACGCAAAGAATTGTCTTTTAAACTTCCTTTCTAATGATGAAATACAAGTGATAAATTTTACAACGGAGGAATGGAAAGATTGAGAAAATATCTTTTGAGCATCATTACAAAGAAAAACCATTTGTAAAGAAGATCCAGAGTTGGCAATTTTTAGACCGCAATAAATTAGGATTGTTTAATCATTGATTTTTATGGAAGTTTTCATACATTTATCAAGACATGACAAGTTTCAGATAACTGCTTGAGTTATAATTTTTATAACAAATATTACATTATAAAATAAATATAGATTCAAATTATATATTTCATGTGAATATAATATTATTATTTGTAAACTATTTTTAGAAATATAAAAGTAATGTAATTTTACAGAAATATCTTTGTGGTACTTTCGTATTTTTTAGCTATGACCACGTCATAATTCTTGAACTGTATCGGAATAGCGGTGATGCCAGGATTTAATCAATGGTTAGGAGGGGGAGGTGATGTGCCCGACAGAAATGCAAGTGGACGGGGACAGGGTTACAAGTACCCCTTTCTCTAGCTTTAACAATTTAGGTATTTGAAGGATTTTTAATCAGTCTCATCAGTCTCATATTCTGTAGGAATTACATAGATTTTTGTTTCTCCCCGAAGAACTGGGCCCCTGCCTCCCACTGGTGCCACGCTTACGAGTTCTATATGGATGATACCTTGTCTACAACTTCACTGTTTCATTAAGTTCATAGAAAATTGTCTTGGCATGCACTTAATGAGATTTATATTTGATAAATTTCTAAAACTCTTCTATAATCTGTTGTGCTCCTAGTGCTTTTTATTTTAGACATAAAATACTTTGGGACTTCAAAATCAACATCAAAGTTCCTATGAGAAAAGCTTAACTGCAGACTTTCTACATGAAAATGGTTTATCATAAACCTTTTCAAGTATTTTTTGGAATTCTAACTTACAGTAGGTGCCTATTACTTCAAACCCAATCAGGGGTTTAGCCAGAAAAACGATATAGGCCGTCCAAAATGCAAGCCATTAGGTGTGGCAATGAGCTGATGGGTGGGCAACGCCCACTCGGAGCCATGCCCATCTTTTGGGGATCCCCACTGAATATTGGTACGAAAACCATGTACATTCAATCAATAAATGTTGTTTTTATCAAACGTAAATATGATTTAGCTTTAGTTTAATGACATTCAATAGATTTGAAGAATATAAAGAATTTGCTAAACGTAGACCAGGCCCAATTAGGCTAGGCCGAGCTGATAGGCCAAGCCGTCCAAGCCATCACGGTAAAAGGGGCCGTCCTAAATAATTGTAGGCCATCCAAAAGACGGCCGGACGGCTCGCTGGCTAAGCCTATGAACCTAATACAGGTCTCCCTCTTATGAAAGACCCCTCCAATTAAAGACCATCTCCAGTTAAGACCACTTTTCTGTGGTACCAAATTAAAAATGTCTTTTATATTCATTATTTTAATTAGACACTAAATCTGCTACAAACCATGGAAACTCATAGTCCCAAAAGGGGTCTTTAATTAACTGGAGTGAGACCTGTATTTTCTATGCTTGTACTTTGCATGTTAGGCCCTATACATTTTTTATTAGTTTATCACCCTAGGCTGGAAAAGGATGAGGTACAGTAGGGAAGGAGGCTTTTTTTTTTTAATAAAGCCAAATATCACTCTTGGGTTGTTTGCTGGTGCATTGATATTCAAATTAAAACATGATTTAGATAATACAAACAATATCTACTAGCTACTTACTTAAAAAAATAATATTTAAAAGAAAACTATTTTTTTTAATAAATATATTTTTTGTCAACACCATAGAAGACATGCACATGAGGGTGATAAACTAATATATTTTTTTAATTGGATCATTAAATGTAGAACTTTTTAAAGTTATTTATAAAAGTATCACCTGCTAATGTCTTTTAAAAGAATGGGAAGTTGTTCTGGCTTAGTGAGTACTTCTCAATAACTCATGTATTAATTTACAAGTCTCAGGGCTAAGCACACTCCATAATTACTCACTGTCTATTATTTCTGCTCTTATTGATTTATAATTATATTTATCCTGCATAATCATATCATTGAATAGTATGTGTCCATGACAGGATGGGGTGGGTGTCGGGTGAAGGGGGGGGGGAATAAAAAATTGAGTAACTTCAATCAAAATTTTATTTTATTTAATTCCAGTTAAAATGAAAGGATACAAGTAAAATTTTTGATACAACAATCTGGATATTGTACTGATAAATTGCACTCATATTTACACACTGATGTTGAACATCAATTATAGAAGATATTGCTATAAACTTTGACAACTTATGGTCTCAACAAGTTGATTCTATGATTGAAATCAAAGTTTTATAGTAATCGAGAAGGAATTTATCTCCGGCAATTAAACACAAGCTTTCCCCTATCTCAGACATTTGAATTATTTTATGGATGTCTAGTTTAATGGCTGATAGATGTGATCTAACTTTGTGATGAAAGGCAGATACAGGAATATCAAAAATATGATTTTTTGATCAGGTAGGAGACAACGTAGAGACACACATCATCCACCTTTATTGGAAAGAGACGCAAAATCTCCTTGGGATGATATCTGTCACTCAACGACGCATTTTTCATTGGTCCCATTCCATGTATAATTATTAAATAGGATGAAAACCGAAAGTGAGTGAACTGTCTCTTTCCACAACTTGATTAATATTATGGAGATCGTCATACGATCCATGTTGACCAGTATGATGCACTCATCAGTCCCTGTGTAGGCATTTGCTACATATTCCGTGGACTAAACGGGGCCAAGCATTGACATGAGTGAAGACACATTGCAGACACACAAACCTTCAATCATATCATGCCATCTTGACTTAACTTCTTCACAAAGATTAGATTGGATTAAAAGAAATATGAGATCATTTGTCTTTGGCATTGCTGTTCTTCTCTAAAAGTTGTTCATGCGTAATCGAGCGACACATGTCATGGTGTTAAAGTTTTATTATTTTTTGTTCTGTTTTAGGCATATCTTGATTCATTAATACCTTTCTCTAATCTGTCACTAACACTTGTCATTCTGTTTCAGTAGCGTTTGTGATTGATGTACTGGGGTTAGCTAGGCCTTACAAAGTCAGTCGTCTTCACACATGCTGCTGATGGTGACATGCCTGGCTATAGCCTGAGCTGAACAGTTCATCTTACGACAGGTAGAGTAACATCAAACCATTTTCTGTACCTCGTCAATCTCGAATCATTGTCTTGACCAGCTTTTCTGAACTCCATTTTCCCCCACTATAGCTCGCTCTAATAAAAAAAGAAACGATATAAAGTGAGTGATTTAAGAAGAAAAGTAAAAAGAAGATTGGCGCGGAGTGAAAATCTGGGACGCTAGACGGTGACTTGCCGGCACCATACTTAAGCGCTCGCAGAATCGTTACTATTGTATACGTGCCCACGGAAATTATCAAATCTATCTTGACTTGATGTGAATTGGTGTGGTGCTCATTGCAGATTGATGTAATTTTCATTTTTATTACTGAAATGGCAATACTATTATGATTGATGTGAAGAAGCGATGACCAGAGAAAATTGACGCAACAGTAACTTAAACAGTTTTCTTATATTTTCTTTTTAATTCCATACATGTATTCAAGTTGCTTTTATTAAAAGCATTTTCGTGAACCAAACAATATTTTAGTATCTACATATAATTTGAAAAATTCTGAAAAAGTTGAAAATTACAGGGAGGGAGGATTAACAAAAGACAGAGTATCCACACATAACTACATAAAGAATAAGACTGAAATATCAATTAATAATACTGTAATATAACTTAATTTTATTCAACTGTTGAAAGTAATTCCCCAATGTTTTGCATATTTATAACAGGAACCTTGATGCTCTGTGTTTAATCAACTCAATGAGTATAAGAGACAGTGGTTATTTGTTTTAAAAAAAGGGGGGGGGGGGGGGGGGGGGGGGGGCGGATAGAGGAAAGCTTGTTGTTTTGGACCCTCAGTACTCTGTGTATAATACTCAACTGTTTTTACAAGGGGTGGGGGTGGGGGGAGATGGAAAGCTTCTGTAAGACCCTTGAAGCTTTGTAACCCTGGTTCTTAATAGGTAGACCCTAGGCAGAAGTGACACCAATAGCACCAGCAAGGAATGAGAAAATTAAGTAACACCAATTATCAAAATTTAAATGTTCAACAAATAAACTAATAATTATGTAAGGTAATGTAAAGTTTCGAAACCTGAAGCAGGCCAGAGTGCCCGTCTCTCTTTAGCGTTTGGGGCCAGACTGTGCAAGGCTGTGGGGGTTCACCAATCCTTCCGCACTGCAGTCTGTTTTATCTTCTCAGCATATGCCGGTACCCATTTATACACCTGGGTGGAGAGAGACGAACGTAGATAAAATGTCTTGCCTAAGGACACAAATGGCTTGCACAGTGAGAGTTTCGAACCCCCGAGCTCAAGGTTAAGAGTCCACGCCACACCCATTGCGCCAACTGCTTCTACATAATAATTATGTATTGTAATAAAAGACAGCCAATTGTTTTAAATTTGATATACCGTATGAACTTTTTATCTTTATACATAAAATTATTATTGTTGTTAATGTTGTTATTGTCTCGGTTATATTTAATATTAAAAAAATATTACGGTACATATTGTTGCTTTACTATAGAATGAAGTAACATCTAACGATTCTATGAAGACACTAAACCCCTGCATTATTTATTATTCTGCGCCTTGAGAGTGTTAGCATTTTATTTTTGTTGTCTGGGAAGTTGATTTTTTTCCTTTTTTCTGCGAAGACATGATTGAATGAGGCATATTTAGAAGCGAAGCAACTGACTAAAAGTACAAATGTTAAATTCAATGCAACGTAATATCTCAAAGAGTCTTCCCAGATTTGATAAGGTTTGCTTCGTCAAGGGCAATCGAATAAATTTGTTCCATTTATCAGTAATATTTGGCATGTTTGGGTTATTTTGACAGAGTTATATCAAATCGGATTTAACCCAGGATGGAAACATAGGCTAACATCACTGCCAAGGGTACAAAATGTCGCAGAAACAAAGATTGCTACTGACACTCGGCAATACCAACGGTGTATTTTTAGCCTTTTGCGACCAGAATGCGTCATATCTAATCATTTGAAATCAAGAACATTGTATGTAGGTTGATTGACAAGTCTTCTATCCAATCATGTTGTCTGAGAGGAACTGTCAGAAATGGACAAGGTCTAGGTGGCATGTGAATGAACTTGTAGAGGGTGCTAAGGGCTTAGGTTCATGGTAAAACCCTTGCCTACTCTAGTCCTATGTCATCACACCCTTGTCAATATCTGCTACTGTTGCACAAAGTTGTTGAAATAATTTTTCCGCTGTTTAGCAACCTAAGAGTATTGTAGTCATATGGAATGACATGGATGTCTTGTTGCCTATCGTAATATTTCATTACTATAGAAGTACCAGCACTATTTTATAATTATAATTATTAAAATCTGTTTAAATATAAGAAAATGTTTTAATGCTAAAAGTGGATGATTTTATTGATTGTATTATTATGTTATTATTATTATTCATTCATTATTATTTATTCATTATTTTACAGTCATTGCTATTTATTCATTATTTTACAGTCATTGCTATTGTTATTTTTGTTTTAATCAATTAACTCATTAATCTGAGTGAATTTATTTTCTATTATTGTTGTTACTAATTGTCTCAGTATATTAAAAAAAAATTGCTTCATTTAACTTTTTAATTTAAATAATAAACATATTATTTTGAAATTTTAAAATGATGTCATGATTAAAGATTGCAGACCTGTAGGACAAGTTGAGCTATGTTTAGATTATGAACATTTTGACATAACTAATTAATCAATCAGTAAATTAATAATCAGTTAACCAGAATAAATCATGAAACTGGGGATGTAATTAGTGAAGCAGTATAATCATTCACCGTTGGTCAGGTTAATCAAGGTGTCGTTAATTGGCTAGTTGATATATGTAAGCTGTTACATTTTATTACAACATAGGTCTTAACCCTTTGAATGCTTTAGCCCACAAGCTACTGGTCTTACTATATATCCTTGTTTAATACGTCTCTGATTGAATGGTTAAAATAAGTTCACTTTGTGTGATAAATCAAAAAGATATTGGGATTGTGAAAACTTAATCATAGGTTATGTTGTAATTATATCATTAACAACAGCTGAAATCACATCAACGAAATGGTGAGAGTCAAAATCGTTGACGATTTTAAATTGTTGCTTATCAATGCAAGAATGTTACCGAGATCGGGGATGTCAGTGTATGATTTATTGTTCGGTTTATTGGACCAACAAAAGGGCGAGGTTGTGCTAGGGGGCGCAATTTTAGCAGTGAACCGAATTTTGGGTAATTTTTGAGTGTCATAGCAGTGATATGTGCTTTATGGTAATCGTACATCAAATAATATCTTAGTAATTATTGTTAAATTGGCTGTAGGTATAGTTTTATTTTTCTATCAACCTGATTGTTTTGTATTTATAGACTTAGGTAGTAATAAATAACAATGGGAGTACACATAACAAACTCTTTTCAGGCTTTCATGGTTTTAAATATTAGTTTCATAATGAAATGAAATTTGAAACCTAAGGATAAATAACATTGTAGGTTGATAGATGATTTTAACCCTAATTAAATGACTTACTGATTATTTCTTAATTAAACATATTATTAATATTAATTTGCCAAAATAAGTTACAAAAAATAAAACAATTAAATCCATGATCCATATGTTGGATTGTTAAATCTCCTATTATAAGATATTGAATATTAAAAAGAATTTAACATATTTTTTGAACATTTAAAAGTTTGAAAATCTCATTTGATGAAATATGATATAACATAGTATTGGACACCAGGACATTTTGTCTATAAAAAGAAAATAAACTATGTGTAATTTTTGAGTGGCCAATCAACAAAGAAGCAGCCACTGGTCAGGGGCAACTTAAATGAAGTTTTTACTAAATTACTGAGAGAGTTGACTGGTTTCAGCGTACTTAGGGCCCCTTTGAATGAACTTGTTGTCCGATCCAATAATGTTGAATAAATATATGAAAAATGTGATATCACCATGAAACCATGAAAACAAAAATTATGTTGGCACATGACAGTCATGGACAGAAAACATATTCTACCCCGTAATCTGATTGGAAGAAGAAATGACCCAAATTAATTATGCATACGTCTTGTAGCGCAGACTGGATTGACCACATTGTCAATTAAGTTATCCTGATGTGACAAAAACAATTTTTCTGAGTTTCATGATACAAGCCAAAGGCATCACCTTTCCAATGTAACATTTGCCCAAGAGTTAATTGGATATGTTTACTAGCATTTACAGGAACAACAACATTATTGTCCATTTTGAGTAATAGCCACAACTTGACCTAGTATGATTACATTCATTGTGTCTGCAAATCATAGAAATATTTATTCAGTTGTTGAACTTGATTAAAAAATAGTTAATTTATTAAACGTTTTACATTCAAAATAGCCTGGATACCCGAGTTAAAAAATGTATTTACTTAAAATTGTAACTGTCATTCTACTTTTTTATCAATTTAAAACATGACTCAAAATGTTATTTTTGTGTGTTCAGCTTTTTAATATTAAAGTACAAAATATGTTTTTAATGTTCAATATTTAACAAATATTTCCTTTTCCCTTTGAGATTTGTATAAAAGATGTTGAAATTTTAATTTATTTGGTTATTTTCATTTTATTCACAAAGATTATATTTATATTGATTCATAATTGTGCTGAAGAAGTAACTACTATAAATGATTTTCTGGCGTCTTATAGTCCGCAGATATGAAATGTAGACAAAATAATTTCTGTAATAAATTTATCACTGTGGAGGTTCCTTTATTAATTCATTTATTATATGAAAAACAAGGACATACCATTGTAGATTGAATACCTCTGAACTGTAACAACATTTCAAATTTCAAAAAGAATTTTGTAAGATATCTACAGACATGGTTTCCGTTTCTTGAAAATCTACCGTGTTTTGTAAATGGCGAAGGAATTGTGATGGCTTCAAAATGAAAGCATCTTTCAAACTAGTTGAACTACTGTATTGCTCGCAGTCAACTATACATCAATACAATTGTGACACAGAAATTGGTTTGTTTTTCTTATTTTCTGGATTATTTATAATACTTTATTTTTTATTATGAGGGCCCTGAACATCAGCTTCACTTCGAGGAAGCTGGAAGGGTTATCCTCTTTAAACATTATTGAAATAAATAAATAAATAAAAAAATCAGCCTGCCATTTTCCTCAGGATTATTTGATTAGGATTAAAACTTTGTTTGTCAAAACAAGGAATGCTACTACTACTGGGCTCCATTCCTTTTCCAACCCAAACCCTTTTCCCAACCCCACCTACATGTAATGTGAATTCTGTATTATTTTCTTATAACTTTTCAATGTTGTCAGTTTTGTCTGTTCAGTCAAAGCCCCTTTTTTGCAACAATTCACTATGGTTTGTGTTAAATCATCCCAATTATTATAAATGGTTTGCTAATTAAACCTTTCCATAGTCTCAATTACTGTGGTTGACTATTTTGAAGTCAAAAACTTATAGCTAAAAACTATCACCCGTATTTCTATGGAACTTATTACTTATGTTATTTGATATTCACGGTATATATTTGTCTACTGGGGCAGATGCAGGAATGGTAGTAAGGGGTACCTGAGAGTCCACAACACCTCAACCTCACCATGGTTGGGACTGAGGTGGGAAAATTCTGAGAATATAGACCTCTAGGTGCCCAGAAATTGCACTCTCATACCTTAAATATCTTACCTGCAATTATATATCAACAATATAATACAATTATTTTTCTTAATACAATTTAGGGGGTGAGATTACACTATCTGCACCATTCCCCCTCCTGCATCCACCCCAGGCTGAATATTTCCACCAATCTTCTATATCTATCATCATGACTTTTAACATAAGCATTTGCAGTTGAAACTATAAGATGGCTTAATCAAGTTTTGCACTATCTGTTAACATTTGCTCTCGTCCTACAGTATTTGTGCAATGTATTCTATGTTTTATTAATTGGTTGGAACTAGTAATGGTATGTTTTATATTTTTGTTAGATTATTTATCATTAATGATATTATAATTGTTATTTATTATGGTATAATTTTTATACATTGTCAAACTTCTAATCTACTTTTCTTTTCTAAAATCAGAAATTGTCTTTTTTTTTTTGCAGTCTGAGAGCTGTTACTTCGACAGTCTCTATGTACCAACAGAAAAAGTGTCAACACTGGATGATATACCGTACATAGGTAGAACAGTATGTATTTCATTGCAATAAAACTGTGTTGTCTACTCTGAAATATAGCCTTGAATCATATGTTGATAATAGTAAAGTAGGCCTAACATTATACCTACTTTACTAAATATATGCCATGTTAGTTTTCAGGTGTACGTAGCGAATTAATGTCATTCAACCGAATAAAATGAATCACATGTTTATTTCGTATTAAAGGAGCAATAACAACTACAGAGTTAAGAGGTGACGCAGGATGTATGCAAAACATTCAGAAATGAATCGTTGCTGAATGTTATTCTAATTATTCTCATTCCCTCCAAAAAATCTTTTTTTTATATTAATGTCAAAATAGTATCGATCTAGCAAGATAAAAAAAAATTATTATATTTATATGAATTTATAAAACTGCCATCTTACCTATAAATGTAAAAAAAAAACTAATAATTTTCTTCTATTTTCTTTGCAGTTAATAGAACTGTACCTAAAAAGAATATATTTTTTAGAGTCTATTTTAGAATATAGATTTCATACCTTTTTTTTTCTAAGGCAAAATACTATATCATTTTCATGTTCAAAAAGTTTATTTTATTCAAGTTTCAAATAACTTTATTTTGGGAGTTTCAATGAACTCTGTGAAAAACTCCACAGTATTTTGTCTTTTGTTGGTAGGCTGAAGGCATGCTACTGGGTCTTGTAGAGAAGTTTTATCTAAACAAAAGTGCAAATGTTGCCTCAAAAAAGTGAGAATTTGGTTCTTTCTTGAAAATAAAAAGATTTTTTTTTTTCATTACAGAAAACAATGAACAGCATTTTAATCTATGCTTGTAGGCTGTTGAATTATACATGTACTCACTTAGGTATTATGGTACTCTCAGCTTAAACCTTTTGTTATATTTGATGAAACATTCATCCTTCTTTGTTGATGCCATTGTTGTTAATTTTTTCATACTTTTTAAAAATGTTTTTATAGTTTAAAAATTAAAATAAATGCCAATATTAAATATTATTTTGTTTTTGAATAAAAAATAACTTATAATAAAAAAAAAACTGTAGGTCCTTACATGTGGAAGAATGCGGTATGGTAAAGTTAGGCTTCCGATCAAAAGATAGAATTGGGGTTTTAGTCCAACCACTTGTTGTGTCCATAGGCAATACATATTACACATTGTCTCTCTCTTCTTAGAAGTATGAGTGGGTAACTGGTAGGTTAGAATGCCAATGAGCTGATTACGAGCTGTGATATTGAATACGCCCCCAGGGAGCTGACTATGTGTTCCATTCAGTAGGTGTTTGATCCAATTATCGGGGTAATAATGTGAGGCATATAAATGCCTTGGCATGGTGCGCTACATAAGGGTGAAATATAATTATTATTATTGTTTGTTGTTTTTATTGATAAAAACTATTGACTTTGATTAAATAATACAATTTTTAGCTATACAATTTTAACACACTAATCTGCAATCATATTAGCAATCACATAGTATCCTACACTAATAGCCAGAGTGCTCAGAATTGTGCTTATACAATTATACAATTTAATGGAAGAACGAGAGCTAATTCTTATTTGTTAACGGAGGTTTGAATTTTTAGAAAATGCGAACCCATGAAATTTACTGCTCGGAAATGGCGTGCCATGCTAGATTTACAGTTTACACGCAGTATTACTCACATTTCTATACACCACCTTCGGTGTCTGTCCACCTGATAAAGTCAATTTTTTTGCGTATGTTAAACAATGTGGACTTCAGTGACGATTTTGCGACAGTCACGAGAAACATGAATGACATTATACGTTAATAACTAGACAAGCCATGAAATACGATAAGCGTATGATCATGAAATACTAATTATGACAATTTTCCTGTAGAAAATATATTTTGACTCTAGGTTATTAAGAGCACAATAAAAACCAGGTGGTAGAGTTTAAATGACTGTCACATAAAGACATCACCATAAAACCATGCAAAATTACATCAAGTATAGTATTACCAATTATATTTATGTTCGTCAAGTAGTTTGTGTTAAAAATCAATATATTGTTAAGAATCATTTACTCTAATTGCACATTAGGTTTAGTTAAACTTATTTTGTATGCTTTTTGATTATTGTTAATAAAAATCAGGGAGATTTATGTTCACAATTGGTATTCTATCCATGAAATTACAATCTGAACACTCTGTAGATGAAAATCAAGATAAGGAGACTGATTAGTTATCATTTCCCTCTATTTATATCATTCACGTTTAACATCCGGTGAACTTGCAGAACAAAAAAATATAAATTAAAATGTTTTATAATCCAAGTGAACTGATATTCTGTTGAGATCCTATCATATCAGTATAAATGGGATACAATTTAGGGTGTTTCAACAGAAAATTACTCAGTACTTCTCTACTCTACCTGCTGTGGGTCTACCATCGAGCATGCTCTTGTTACCAAGTAAATTATGATGAGGCATGATATGGGCAAAATCAAATTTTCAAATCGATTAGAATGGTAAAAAATATTTGTTAATATTCTATTAAAGAAAAGTCAGTCTTCTTTTAATGCTTTTTTGAAAAAGAATAATTGTTATTTATGTTATTTATAAAAAACAAATTTTTATTTTTATTTTATCATGATACAAGTCTTACCAGAAATCATTTGAATGTAGCACAGAACTTGGATAAAATTGTCAAAAATATCCTCACATTCAGTGACACCAATATCAGGTTTGTTGTCATGCATTTGGGATTCACTACAAGTGTGTGTAGTAAACATGTTTAACCTCCTTGTTAACCCATGCTGTGTTGCATCACCATGCAACACAACAACAACATCGATAACAACTGAGGTGGCTGTTAGCCTGAAAAAAATGTCCTGTAGGCCTAAAGGTAACAAAAAAATGCTTTGTTTACAAAGAATTGTCTACTTTTAACATACCGGTAATTATTGAAACTAAATGAAATTATTTTAAATCATAAAGAATAATTTATAATTGGTAACACTATATACAACACAATGCATTTTCAGAATGATAAAACTAACATTGAAAGTTATTACCAGTTGATTTAGTTGTGAAGAATCGTAGGTTCCCTAGCCTTTCTGCGGAAACTTGTTGCTTTCAGTGTGGCCTTCTAAATGCGAACTGTTTAGGCTCTTGTTGGATGAGAGTAGACAAAATTAGGTGCAGCACACTGGCGGTGTTCTGCTAATATTAGATATTCGTTGATATACCAACCGTAGCTCCAAAATAGGTTATGTTTTATTAATTACTTAATTAATTTATTTATTTTACTATCTATTTTATTTATTTATTTTATTTATTTATTAATTTAAACATTTTTTATTTATCTATCTGTATTTGTCTATTGGCTGGCTACTGGCTATTACACCAACAGTCATTCTTACTTTACAGACTTCTCTAATAACTTCTCTAATAATAAATAAGTACAGTAAATTGTACATATCGAAATAGATTTTTTATTTTTTATAATAGGCCTATTTACTGTATAAAAGAAGATGAATTTTGGAAACGCTGTGTATACAAACATATACCAATTCTCTTTTCGTATTAGCACATCGTCGCTGTGTGTTGCATCGTAAGCAAACCTGTGTGAATCACGGCAAAGGTCAATCACTATCCGCTTCATGCCATTAATATTTGTTGGTTTTTTTTTTTTTTTGTGCAAGCTGGCATATACATAATTACTGTGATTTTCATCAGCACGATAATTCAATCTGAGGAATGCTCACGAAATGAAGTTACGTCCATGATGTAACAATAGAAATATCCAATGTAGCAGTTCTAACGCCATTGTGGATATAGTGTCTTTAACCGGAGATGATCTGCCTAAGCTTTCTATGTGTCTCGTTCAGTCATTCTAAGTGTTTAACCCTATATTTTCACCTAGTCAAGGACTGTGCCGTAACCTTAAACTCCATCCGCCTAGACAGGATGGCGCAACATTGCCAGGGTATGTTTTAAACATACGTTTTATACATATACCGTACCATATTCATATGCTTTTACATCACATCATACGATATGAAACCTGTGTATTGCAAGAGTCAATTTAGTTTAAGTAGTTAAACTTTTAAGATTATATGCTTTGTAAAACATTTTTATCATCAGTACCGGTAATATTGTTTTTAGTATATGCTCATATACTGTTTAGTTATTGTATTAAAGTCGTTGCAATTTTATGTTTACCGCAACATTATGTGAACCAAAACCAAATATTTGAGTGAGTGTTGTTTTAATGTTACCCAGGTCGTGACAAATTAAACCAGGCTCATTATAACGGCGACCTTCAAGAGTAAAATTTGGCGTGCTGATCAATTTAATGCAGAGGATTAATGTCGAGCCTGTTGTACAATTATAATGTGACGCTTCTCATCAAACTCTTCGGTTAGGAGGCATAAAAAAATTGATTTGCTCATGTCACATTAAGGACATATCAACTGATTTTGGTGTAGGCGAGTAAAATTCAGACCTTATTTCACTGTGTTACAGAAGCCTTTCATGTTTGATCTGTTTGTCGGTATTTGTTGATGGGTGTTTTTATATCGTAATGATATTCAGTTGATTTTTGTGCTCAACAACGCTTCAGCATCAACATGTGTGACATCATGGAGGTACTGTACAGTATTCATGTAGGTCAAGAGATGATGAACGTCAAATGGAAAAAGAATTATTGTCATTGGCTATGAGTTATTGTGTTTCACAATTCATTTTCCTTGGTTACCGTTTGCACTGAATATATAATATTTGCTAAAACCTGTAACTTCTATCATTTGATATCACGATGTATACTAGTATTTACATATGATACATATTGTCCAAGCAACAAGGATTTGACATAGTAACATTTTTTTTTATTATAATTCAAATTTAGAAATAATTTTAATAATCTAAATTTGTAATTTTTGTATTTCATTTATGTTACGGTCACTCAGAAGGCAACATCAAAATGCACAGTACAAAAAAAATTCAGAGAACTACACATGATTAAACTTAAAGAAAAAAATTGATGCCT